TCAGTTATTAATAACTGTCTGTGGGGATTTGTGAGACTGCCGCCGGATAAAGAAGCAGAAGTCTATCAAGATGTGTTGGATTTCCTAGGTTTGGACCCTGCAGAAAATCGAAATCCGGAAGGGGTTGTCCAAACGACGAGGTGAAGGGCCTTACAGACTTAATGACTGTTTTCCAAAGGAATATCCCCATGCCTTCACACATCGGTCCAGTACTAGGACGCAGTTCTTATATCGATGATATCGCTCATGGCGCGAAAACATAGAACCAACTGTGTAAGGACCAGGGCACTTTACCCTATCGCTTACGTTACTAGAACATCTCGGTGAGTTTGCCTAAAAGTGATTTTGGAAAACGGTCGATCTCCTATCTGTCACATGAAATTAGTGCGGAAGGTATCCGAGCGATCCCAAAAGTTGCGAAGGGTGGTATGGATCTATCGTTCCCCAAATCTCACAAAGGTGTGCTATCGTTTCTTGGAAGTCTGAACTACTACCATAAGTTCATTGAAGACTTTCCGGTAGTGGCAGCAGTCCTCTATGAACGTTCGGAAGACCAGATACGTCAGGAACGAGACCTCTCGCGAGCCCATGAGTCATTCGAACTGCTTAAAAGGAAAATTGTCGCGACGCCACTGTTGAGACATCCGGACATCCAAAAGTCGTTTGTGATCATTCCACACGCGAATCGTTGGGCTGCTTGTGCAGTCGTAGGACAAGAATACGACGGAAAGATACACCCTGTTCGGTACACGGGACGCGTTCTGAACGATGCTGAGCTCCGGTATCACATTGTCGAGAAGGGAGTGATTGCTATCCTGAGGACGTTACAAGTCTTTCGGACTATTCTGGAAGGCCGACGACTGATCATCTACACAAGATATTCTGTTCTGAAATGGGTGTTACAGTCTAAGTCGGCAGACTGCGTTCCTTGGGGAGTCACGCGCTCACATTGGGATATCGAAACTCGAAAAGTCCAAAAGGATGAAGACGGACTTGCAGCCATCATGGGTGCAGGGATCACACCGCGAGAAGATTTGGATGAGGCACTGATCCCTCTAAAGGTGCACGTTCGAAGGCCCCCAGTAGTGAGCGTTGAGTTGTTGGGAAGTGATTTCCAAGGAGTCGTTCCGAGTTTCGACGATGCCGCAAAACTCTCCACCAAGAAGGGGAGCTGTGCCTGTGTGTTATGGCAGTTACCCGGTTGGAAAGTTCTGAATGCGAAAG